AAAGAAACTACAGAGGAGTTAAAGTTGTTTTCTATTATAATTCCATCAATTTTAGGGCTACAAGCTTCTTTTTGGGCTTGTTTTGATCAGAAAGAAGTGCTTTACAACTTTTCTTATGACTGTAGAATAGGTTAATAGAATACTTTATAAGAAATAGTTAAAAGTTTAATAGTGAAGGGCAAAGTTCGTTTTGGTAGTGTTAAACTGCGAGTTCGAAAGTTATAGACTTGAAACTTTCAAACTATATGTAAAATTAGAAGCTGAGCAAGTTTACTTAAGACACCAAAGTTGATTATCTCAATAAAATAACCAGGTATTGATGATTTTAGTACTGACGGATTTTTAGTTATTTTTGTGTAAAAAGGATTTATGGAAAGAGTTTTTTTTATAGATCCATAACTTAATTTGATTATATAAATTGATTATAGTATTTGATATAGTATTAAGCATGTTAGTATTAAATATATTTTATAAGAAAGTATTTATAAGATTGTATAGTAATTAATTAGATAGACAGATTATTTAGTGAAGATAAGAACTAATTTGATAATATTAGTGATAAATTGGTAAATATAAATAATATCTTTTGTGTAGAATATATAGTATAAAAAGATTATCTAATAGGATTTTAATTCCGAAAAACTTAAAAATAAAAAACTGAAAATTATATAAAAAGTTTAAAATTTTGATTATTATTAATATATAGTCAAATTGTTTGATAATAAACTTGATTAAAAGAATTTTGTATACTTTTTAAAAGTAATTTTGTGTAATTTATAATATATAAATATATATATAATATATTATATTAATATTATAATAAATAGGTAATTCTAAAGAAAAGTTTTTAAAGTTTTAAAGTACATGTAAAATTATAGATATTATAAAATATAAAGATAAGATATAACAAATTATATTAATTATATACAAGTTGATTTGTAAGATTATCATACTGATTATCTTGGTAAATAGTAATTTTGTAAAAAATAATATGAATATTGTATGATTTGATAAAGTTAATAAGCATTCTATAATAAAAAATATGATGTATATATATAAGATAAAGTATAAATTGAGTTTAAAAAACTGTAATATTTAGAAATTATAAACTGCAAGTCAGTATGTATATGTATAGTACAGGGCAGTAATAAGAACTGATAAGATAGCAGTAATCTCAGACTTAAATAAACAAGATTAGTATCTTGTTTAGATTACCAATTTTTTTTTTAAAAAAAAAAATATTATTAATTTTATTATATAAAATTACTAATTTTTTATATAATAAACTAATTTAAAAATTTTTTACTATAATTTTTTTTTTTTTTTTGAACTTTGATGACAATGCTAGTTGGTTTTTATTAGCCTTAATTTGATATAATACAAATTTATAATTACATTTTTAGGATTGATTATTACTAGTACTATATACTATCTAATTTAACACTACTGACTTTACTTTGCTACCCTTATGATACCTAAGTGCATGTCTATCACATGCCTGCATGCAGTTATCTTGGCAACTATTTGCAGTCATGGCATACATTAAACTGCTATACAGACAAGGATACCTACTGAACTTAATACGGCATTTCAAATACCAAAAGTACTGTCTTCTGTAAATTGTACCCATATGTTCCACTCACATGTTTTACCTGGTCTTGTTTCTTTTGCCTCCTAATCTAACTATATCTAGTATTACCTTGTTCCTCATATTTTCCATCTTTTTGTTACTGTATCACTTCCAAATTGGTCCTATTCAGATATGTTTGATCCTTATGATCTTTTCATCTTTGGTTTGCCTGTTATTGATTCTCCTAAGATGTTCTGATAATGATCTAGGATCTGCAATGAACCTATATCTCAAGCCAGATTTGCTGTCACCATTGGTCTTTTTGACTAATTCGTATCTCAAGCCAAACCTGCTGTCACCATTTCTGCAGATGCCCTAGGTCTTAACATCATACAGTAACTCGATATTGCATTTAATCTTCAACATGATGCTTTCTTTTATAGTAGAGACTGAGACTTGTTACACTTACAAACAGGACAATTCTGGTTATACCTAGGGAGTTCCTCTAATCTTAGTAATACTATACTACCATGTATTACAAGCTCTCAGTTTATTCAACAATATCTGCAGGACAATTCTGGTTATACCCAAGGAGTTATACTGACCCCAGTGATGCCATACTACCTTGTAGATCTTATTTCACATTGGTTGGTTGATCCCTAGTCTTGTTCATTATAGACTTTCATATAGGTATGACTAGAACCTGATTTGATACTTTTATATTGTATAAGGAAGTTATACACCTATCTCCAAGATCTTCTCTTCTATAATTAGATTATTCAGCTGTGTCAAAGATGCTTTCAATTTTGGTTAGACCAATCCTTTATCACAGTCTGTCCTCATGTTCACTGCTTCTCTTAACATTCCAGTCTTAGTTACTTGTCAGACTACTCTCCCAATCAAATCATCTCCTTAGATCTCAATTAAGACTTATTTGCACAATCTATTGATTATTCTTCCAAGCAAGTATCCTACAAGTTAGATGCAGGAATGTTGGTATTGCCTATATTAGGAGGTATAAGGATGTTGGTATTGCTCTAACCTAAAGAACTTATATGCACAATCCTTCTATAACTGTAACCTTTTGTAACAATTGCTTGTTATGCATAGTGCCTTCACTCTATGGGACCCACACCCTACTATAATTTTTTTATATAATAATTATAGTTAAAATTTAATAAATTTATACATCAAGATAATATTAAAGTGTTTGCATAGTAATACAAAAATACTTAATTGTAATTAGTTAATTTATAAATATATCAAAAAATTTAATTTTTTAATTTTTTTTAAAAAAAATTAACCAACTTGAAGATTTTTTTAACCAATATATAATTAAAATTTTAATTTTTTTTATAAATATGTTTTATAAATCTTTAAATATTAAATATATTTATTTAATTGCAAGTTAATCTGAAAATTTTACATAATTACATTTTAATTCAAATATATCAAGTTGGTGTATCATGCTTAATAAGACGACTAATAGCATTTTATCTAACTAAAAATACATAGATAATACAGACATTATATAAAACATGCAAAATGAAGCCTAACGGTAAAATTACTGAAGAAAACTTTTCTTTTTTCCAAAAGCAGTCCCAAAAGTAGAATATAAGCTATTAATTATACCTATTTTATTTGATTCATTCATGCTGGATAAATCATTAGAAAGGTTAATCGGAGTCGCTGTTTGTTGTTGTTTTGGTGTTAGATTTTGATTTGAATGTTCAAATCGATCCGTAGAACACTTTAATCAAAGAAATCAAAAGAAACAATTGTATTTTTAATAATTGAAAAAGTAATTAACTAAAGTAAAAACATCAAAGAATGTAACATACTATTTCTTTAGTGGGTTCATTAACATGGATAGAATTATTGACAATATCTTCTTGCTTAGAAGACCTTCCAGCATCAAATCTTGAAAGTAGATTATTAACATGACCTTGTTTTAGTGGTGAAATATTATGCACCGAATTTGATGCCTAAAATAAATGTTTTTTTTAGCGTCTCATTCAAATCTACACGCAAAGCGAATTGTTAAAGATCATTACTTTTTCATTATTATTATTGCTATCGTTATTACTATTATTATTATTTTTATTGTTACTGTTATTGTTGATTGTTGATAATAATTTTTCTTTTATTTCAGCAACAGATGGACCACGATTATGATTGATGTTTCCGTCGGAAGGGTGGAGTACATGTATCCCTTTTTTTGGACCCAATTCATAATTTGATTTTGTAATAAGTTTCTGCTGCTCAAAGTTAGGAATAATGCAATTAGAGTTTGATGCTTGTCTTGGGGATACTGAGGGAGAATAAGGTGGTGTGCGAACAGGAAGATTAATCGGAAATGAACGAACTAAATATTGAGTTTCAAAACTAGATTTTCTGTTAATTTCTTTATTATTTGAGTTTTCATTTTCTTCATAGTCAGACGCATCGTTACTTTGAACACCGGAAACAATTTTAATATCAATTTCTGTATCAATGTTTAAATTTGTATGATTATCTATAGAAGACATCTCATTTACTTGATCATCCAGTCCTTTAGTTTCACTTTCTGTTACCGATAATCTTTTTGCACTTTGATGAATATTAAATATATCGTAGTCATCATCATCCCTAAAGAATGGCGCATCATTTTCATCTATACCAATGGAAATCTTTGATATTAAATCTTGAGCTGTAGGCGTACTGTTTGAAGAAAATGTAGGACAAATTGGAAGAGATAAACGGTTTCTCGATTTTTTTTCATTCTTAACAATATTTCTTTTCGTTGGTTCATAATGTTGAGTACTTATAATAGGTGAGCATTCTGATTTTGTAGCGTTAATACGTGGGAATTGTATTTCTGTTGATCGTAGAAAACTTAGAGATTGAGAGAATTTATTTTCTGGTTCTTCAATTAAAGGAGACGAAGAATCTGAAGACTTATAATTCATCGCGGCCAATTGCATATCTGATATAGATGCAATGGATTTTGATATACGATGCGAATATCTTCTCGATAACTTGCGTGAAAGTAAGGAAGTATCCTCAGTTGGTGATTGAATCTTGAAATAAAATAATTGATTATATTACAATTTTGTTGACACAGTACTATTTCATTCAATATATAAAAGTGATAGGCATACAAAATTTTTTACCTCATCCAAGATATTATCAATTTCTTGAGGTGCAGGGATCCCCATTGTAGCAAATACCGACCATTCATTTATCTTTGTAATGAGTCCTCCACATTTTTTTAATGATTCAGTAAACAAGGTGAATTGACAATCTGCTATCCGACAAATTATCTGCACGATTATGCCATGGGCGTTCTTTTCTCGCTTTGTAACATGATTTTTATATATAAGATATTTCTATAATATAGTATATATTATAAAATAATTAATACTTGATTTTTTTATCAAAAAAAATATTGTAAAAATTAACTTACTTCTAATGCATCAGAAGTTGCCTTATTATTCTTTGATTTCTTTTCATCAGCATCAATTTTTTTTATTTGCTTATATAACTCATTAGCATTTTCATATGCTTTTTCTTCTTTCTAAAAATTGAAAAATTTAGAATTTATAGAATCCGTCATCGTATATCTGCTTCTGATTATCTGGATAATTCAAAATCGCTAAGATATCCGGATAATCCGACAGGTATTCGGTTAATTATCCGGATATCAGATTTGGATATCCGATAGACAAATGGATAAACAGATATACGGATAATGGATAGGAATACTACTACAAAGACTACGTTATCACTTACAGTAACTCTTTTGGAATATTTTTCCCAAAATTTTTGTAATGTATCGAATTCTTTTCTCAAATGTTTACTCTATTCGTAAAAGAGAGAATTCTTTAAAAAGAAATCGACATTAAAGAAAAATGAAAACAAAGTTATTTATCCCTTACCGATTTGTTTTGAGCTTCGGAATAATTTTCATAAAATTGAGACGTAGCTTGAAGGCACATTACTGCGGTCAAATAGCTACTATTAGAGTCATCACGTGTACAATAGTAATACGTGATCTAAAACCTTTTCTTACCATGAGAACTATCCATCTCTTTACTATTTCCGTATTCTTTAAGAGACTTGCTGAGGGCTTTTGAGGCTTTTGCAAGTTTGTCAACTAAATCACAAAAATTCCCGGTAATCGAAATCAAATTTCCAAGATTTTCGACTGCTTTTTGAACATCACTTGGATTCAGTATTTTATCATCCCGAATTGGTTGCGTCGGAAAATAATGTTTGGGTGGCGATCCAAGAATTGGTGTTTGAACTGGGGAATTTGGATGAGAATTGAATAGCGAAAACCTTTTCTTCTTATACGTAACCATAATTGCAATTATTAAATTGTAGTTTTGTATGATCAAAAACTCGAAAACTTATTTTATTCACAATGTATCTATCTGCATGCAATTAAATGAGAATATTGTTAATGTACTTTTAGGCATCAAAAAAAAAAGCTTATTGAAAAAAGTAACATAGCGATAAAATCATTGGAATTAAAAAGAAAAAAAAACAAGGTTCAATCTCCTCGAAATTACGGGGTTAAATTTATTCAAAATCCAAACATAGAATAATTAAAATCAGGAAGATCGATTGTTCTAAAGATCGTTCCGTACAACATTAATATGTCATAAGTCTCATGACCTATTCTTAATTCTTTCAATATTATCTACTCAAATGGTATATAAACTGAATCTTATCTTTTATAAAAATGGTAGAATATTGATTTTATCATGTTCTTATTAGATTTTTTTACATGGAAAGGGTAATCTGTGTATAATTTACTTAAAATTTGTTTATGCATTTCATATTGACATCTCTATAATTAATAATTAAGGTAATAGTAATATATAACGATAACAATAATTTACATTTCTATATACAGTAGCATTGTGCATAACGATAAACGTAAGCATACATAGAACAGTCAGGTATTTTACGCGATATAGAAATGATTTGCAATATACTAAAAGGTTACGTATTCTAAAACCGATTTCTATTTTAAAAAAAGGCATTATCTAAAAATAACAATATATTCTTGCAAAAGTTTTTTATGAAAGCACCTAAACTTTCTGTGCCAGATTATGTCGATCATTGTGGCGCAGTAAAAATTTCAAAGTTCTTTACAATTCATTAATGTTAGAGTTAGAGTCTATAATTAAGTGAGAGATTAGGTGGTTAGATAGTAAAATCACTTTAGGAAACCTTTTCGTTAGGGGCTAAATTCTGCAATTTTTGACAAACCGAACGTTTGTGGTACGTTACATCTGATTGATCGACATAACCTGGCACAGAATATGTAATCTAGGAATCCCTAAGGTTTTAAAAGGTGGTTGTGTGCCCAAATAAATCTTTACCGGAAGAGAAATGATCTGCGGTTACCCGAATTTGAAAAATCCCTAACCAAGTCTTGGCACCTTGCGAATCAGATTTTTTTATAGCTTAGCCAGTTTTACGATTTTTAATTTTAGTTCATATGCATTAACGTCCATATAAAATTTAAAAATTTTTTGGGACCATTATTTTTTGGCTTTTTTTATTTAGACTAGAATTTAAGGTTAGAGTTTATAATAAAGAGTATATCGAAATGCGGATTTTAGTAAGGTTTATATTTTTAAATTGAGACCCTAAATATCATCATCATCCTCTACAATTTATAACGATCGCGGACATGTGGGCTGCCGTCAATAAAAATCAAGCAGATCTTAAGCTTTCCTTTGACTATTAAATTATTAAAATTTATTGAAATGTAAGTTGGGAAAGTTAAAAAATTAATTGTTTTAAAATGTTAATATGCTTGATTCCTATTGACGGCAGCCCATGTAATCGATATTGAACATTTTGACAAAAATAAATAAAATAAAATAAATCGAAACTTTCTAGTTAAAAATGTTCAGAACTAAAAAAAAACAAAAACAAAAAAAAACATGGTTTTGTATATATAAATTTGGGTTGAGTCAATAGAAACCAAGCAAATATTTTTTAGTTAGTTTTTTTTTGAAACCTTAAACAAGAATAACTTAACAAATATTTATTTAATTAAGGATAAATCGAATTGTAATATCTTATTTGTAACGGCCTCGGAAAATATTATTAAAATTTTATTTTAAATACACTATAAATAAATTGTAAAATTTATATATATATAATATTTATTATCATTTACATACTGTTACATACTCATGTTTAGTACCTATATTACATGCCATTTTTTAATAGAATTTTATGAGTCATGATTTTAGAGGGATATAACCATATATAGTTACAGAAATGTGATCGCTATAACCTAAAAATCTTGCATGATTAAGCTTTTAAAGATCGTTGAGACGTAAATTAAGATTTATTGTTGTTTTAAATTCGAATCGATTACAAAACCGGCTTTTAGTAGATGGCCGTTGATTTTACTATAAATTCCAACATTAACTATCTTAAGTGTAATAACATCAAAAACAGTGATAATGGTAACAAAGTAAAGAATCAAAAAATAATACCTAACATATGTTGATATTGGGGTTGTTGTAAGTTTGTTTAACAATCTTAATTAGATGTTAAGTGATGTATAAAGTAGGGTGGAGTAAGAGGAGTATTGGTGATTATAGTTATGTTTACAAGTCTTTTTGTTAGGAATAAAGTGTATTGCAGTGTTAATTATTGAATATTTAATCTTATGCCAGGTAGTTTCAATACTTTCATTAGTATTGTTATTGTGTGGTGTATTGTGTAGCCTAAGGTTGTGAGAAAAAAGATCTGAGAATTCTATTTACTGTATTTGTCAGTTGATATATCTTTATAATTAAAGATTTTGCAATTAATGTTAGTATAATAATGTAAAAGTTTGCTATATGCATTAGTAAAGGTTCAAGTGAATGTAAAGATAAAGTGATCACTAATATTGTTATCATTAAGTTTGTATAAAAGAAAAAATTAAATATTAAATGAATCAGTTCAGATATAGTCAATATGATTATGATTAGTATTTTTTAATCATGTAAAATGCTTGTTGTCAATATATATACTAAGATCAAATATGTTGAATTGGTATAGATAATTAATAAGTTAAAATTTAGATGATGAGTTACAGATGTCATTATATATATTGAAGTCTCTAAGTATTATCAGATAAAGATTGTGTTAGAGAGCTTGTTGAATTTATATAATAACTATATTCTGTATTTTGTTATATTTTTGCATATCAGTAAAAAAAAGATAAACAGTTATGATTCAAAGTTTGATTTCACTTTTGAAGAAGAGATTCAAAGCAATTACTCCATCAGAATATGTTTGATAATTGTATATATGAGTTTATAAATATTTGTGAATCATAATAGCAGCACTTCTGCTAAGCTTTCAAAGTTAGTTCAAAAGTAAGAAAATAGGTTGTTGTTATAAAATTAAAGGTTAGTACTATTAACAATTTTAGTTTTAGTAATACAGACAATATGAATATTATTATAAAGACAATAATTCTGTCAAGTTTTTCTTTTAGTTATTGTATTAAAATCTCTAATATTGTGTATACAGATATTTAAATAAAGGTCATATAAAGATTATGTTGATATAAATACTTGTAATGTTGTATGATCATTAAAAATAAATTAGGTATGATAAAAATAGAATTAGAAAGATTTGATCTATGAGAAAAGCTATAAAAAATTAAAAGAAAATAAGGATAAATAATAGTATAATGAATCATTTGAAAGATATATATAAGTTTCATAATAATTATTATCAACAAAAAAGATAATATTAGAGACAATGTTATTATAATTATATTTGTCAATATATTATATAAGGGATTAAATAGTTTAGGCATATAGAAGAAGTAATAGGTTGTAATAAAAAAAAATTTGTTAAAGTATGTATGAAGATTATAAGAGTTTAAAGATATTGATAATGACCTTCTAAGTTTATCTTCTACAGAGTTGATCACTGTATACTTAGCTTTTAGAGCTGTACAAGGTACTATAGTTTGCTCTATAAATTGGATCAGACTATCATAATCCTAGCCTTCTATATAAATAGGTTTTACTATCTGCCTATTTATATCATTTTTTCTATTAACTACTAAAAATATATCTTTAATAAAATAATAGCTGTATTTATAGGTTTTGTAGAAGACAAATTTATTAAAAAGAAGTCTGCTTTTCTTTTTCTAAGAAGAGTAAATTAGCAATAAAAGTTAGTATTTTAAATTTAATGTTGAATTTTTTATATAGAATTGTTTTAGCTTTTGGTAAAGCTTTTTTCTTTATAAAATTTAGTTATTGTAAAGTAGTTAAAAGATTTATTATAGGTGCAATCAAAGTATATAATAACACATACAAGGAAGTTAGTATTAATAAGTTTGGGTATAAAAAAGTTAATAATCTGTTGTTTATTCATTTTGTTAATATTATAGTTCTATATAGCTGTGTTTTGATAAATAGTTAGATATTAGTAAAAGTAAATGCTTGTCTTTTAGATTAGTTTTAACAGAATTAGCAAAACAGGTATACTTTTCTGCTTTTGCTACTAGTTTATTTAAAACAGTTATAGGAATTTGTTTAATAAATATGGCTTTATGTTTTTCTTTAATATAGAATATTGAAGCATCAAGAAAGAGTTTATTTCAGGCTTCAATTTCCTTTAAGTAGGTATTATATGATGTATTAAATATGTTTCTAATAAGTTTTGATAAGTTGTATATAAGTTGTGGCATAAGGTTTGTTTTTTGGATATTGTTAGTTTTTTTTTTATTGTTAAGTTTTTTATTTTATCTTTAGTTGTAATTGGTTTAAGATAAGAACACTTGAGATCAGTGCAAATAAGTATATAATGATTAGCATGTCTAAAAGTTTCATTATATTTTTTATAAAAACTGGTTAGTTTTTTAAACTCAACAGTAATAGATAAGAGCTTTTTGAGATAAAAGATGAAATGTTGTCTAAATTTATATTTAAGATAATTTGAAACTTTGGTTTTATTAATAGTATTAAAAAAATTGACAACTATATATGAAAAATTTTTTTTCAAACCATTCATTAAAATGGTTAAGTAAATTTTTTAAAGATAGTATGTTATATTTTTCAAGAATAGAGTTTTAAGAAGATTTAAGTTAAGTTTAATATTAAATTAGTTGTTTATTTTAATAAAGAAAAATTAATATTGTTTATTAACTTTAATAACCTCAGATGTAATGTTAAACTTTTTAGATCTAAGTTTGATATCTTTTGCAAATTTGATACAATTGATTTCTTGGTAATTGTCAGAAAGATATAGATAAAATTAAACAAAATTAATACAAAATTGTAAGTAATTATAGGTTTGAATAAGTGAAATAGTAGCAAGT